GCTGTTTAACTGCTTCAATATACACATAGGAGCAGCTGTACGGAGTAACTTTTTCCATCAAAGTGTTTTTTTGTGGTTTAAACTCCTTTTAATGAGATGTCATAGAACAGATGAAGGAATCAGGAAGAGGAATTTTTATAATTTTGTGTAAAACCCATGAAAGGTATCATACTTTAACATATGATGCTGACTGGATGAATAAATAAAACGACAGATCTATCAGCTACAGTTCAGTACAGTTCCAAATCGTGCAGATGTTATGATTTTCAGCTATTTACCAGCTTTTAAAACATCACTTTTGACTACAAATCTTCATCCCAGACGGTCCCCTCTGTGCCTTCAGGGGCCATATATTGCACCCCTGTTGGTTTGCCATCCTTTTTCCACAGTGGATCTTTAAAATGCAGTTTGGAAGGCTGTAAAAGTCTGCACACATGAAGCCTACCACTAAGTACAGTTCTGTGGAACATAATTAGCTTGTCTCGGCCCATGTAAGGTAATGGTTTAAAGGAAAAGACAGAGCAGACATTTTCACATTGGATTTATTCAAACAGCTGCTGATAAACTTCATCCCTGGAGGATTCTCCGGTGTCTTGAAAGTTCATATAAGTTACGGAAAATAAGGTCAAGTAGAGAATAAAAAAGAACGCAGACATTATCTGGCTTCTTTTAAGGTTACTGTTTAGGTATTACAATATTTAACATAATTAGAAAGGGGTTAAAAGTATAAAACATTAGTACTGGAGTCTGTACACTGTTCATTAAAAGGCACTTAGGCTCATTTTGAGAGGAATATGGGGTTCAGTGCCTACCCACTGTTTGCCAGGGTAACTTTAACAGTCTGGACCTCAGAGATATGGGAAGATTTCTGGATAATGCGGCTGGTCAGAGCGGTCTCTGTGCTCTGCTTTAGGGCTGACACAGCTCCAGTCACACACAGCCTGCCTGTGATGCTGGCTTTTGATCCGGAGAAAGGCTCTGATGGGCAGCTCTGCCCTGTGGCTGAGATGGGCGCCGGGTCAGTGCTCAGTCCTGCCTTGCGGCTCTTCCCCTGGGCCAAGCTGGTAAGAGCCACAGCAGCATGGATCTCCCTCCAGCCTTGGCCGTCTTTTCTTTGTGGGTTTCGGTTCTGCAGCTGACCCCTGTGAAGAAACAGCCATTGAGATCAAGAGGAAAGAGAGGTGAGGGTTCAGCTTGAATAGCAGCTTCTGTATCAGGTGATGTTTCTTTGTGCTGCTGATCAGAATGAGAATAACATCTTTTATTGCAGTAGGTTAGTGACGACTGTTAGACGTTATTTATCTCCATTACTTCCATCATGCCCAAAAACTTATTATAACTATGCTGTTAACTTCTCAGTTCCTTTATTATATCTGTAACCTTTTTATTACATTTTATTCAAGTTGAATATGACCTTTTTAACAAGCGCAATAAGTGCAATGTCAAAATTGTGCTTACCTATAACTTTTAACTGAAGTGTTGTCTGCTGTATCTGAACAAAAAGATAAAAATAAAAACACATTACTCAGAGAAAGTACCATAAACCTTCTTACCAGGTTATTGTGTAAGGCCACACATGTTTGTTTTAAAAATAAAACTTAATAAGTGTTTATTTTGTGTCCAAAAGTCTGATGTAACCAGTACATATTCATTCTGTATGAGTTCATGCTTTTGCCTAGCGTTGGAACATAACTGCCCTTATTTTATTGTTGTTTATAATTTATAGATTTCCTTGTTTATTTTCTGTTTTTTTTTTAAACATAAGCACTTACCAATAGGAAAAAGCTTTAGAAAAACATTAAGAATCGGTTGTGCTCAAAAGGAGATTACGTATTTGTTTATTTTACAGGCTCAGAAAAGAAGAAGGAAAGAAAAAAAGACTGTATGTAACATTGATTCTAGCCTACAATTTCTGCTTGTGGTCTGTGTGTACATGTGCAATATTTGTAGAACATATTTTCCATCTCAGCTTCTGGTTACTGCCTTTTTTTTTAGGTTTGAGCACAAAGATAGTTGCCAAGAAACAGTTTTTCTTCTGAGTCCAATAGAAATTGAAATTAGATGCTGAAACTCTGTCTTTTTGCGCTAACAGCCTGAAACATACCACAGACGTGAGCCAAAAGTAACTTCTTACTGATAGTAAATCACTTTTGTTTTATGCTTTTTGCTTTGCTACCGAACATCCCTCACCATGTCTCCCCTCAGCTATAAAACTCCCTGCCAAGAAAGTAGCTCAAAACTTTGCTAAATTTATGACCAAGAGAGAAAAACCTCTTGTGAGTTTCACTTCGCCAGAGGGTATTAGTGACAGCTTAATGTTACAAGTAGTAATGAATCCAATCAGTGCTTTGTTTTCAATGTCTTATATATCGTAATTAACATACAAGTGTAAACACCATAGATCATAGCTATGTGCTCATAAAGCTGCTATCATGTACTTAGGTAGCATATCATGTTTAGTGTTGGTTCTTTCATGATTAGCACCTTGGGCTAGAGCCCACCTGTGTGCACCTGTTCTGCTTGCTTACCCACAGACACTAATTTCCCTTGGTGAAACTGATTATGTCAAATAGTCATAACTGAACATTTTTAGATATTTGATGTAGGTATATGTTTCATAACAAGCAAAAACTAAAAATAAAAACTAAACATTGTTATAGTTCTCCCCTTTTGGACTTCTATTTGAGTTTATTTTTGAGTTTTCAGTTATCTATGTCATTCTGTTTTGTTGAGCTTTGGTTTCTTTTTCCATATTGTGTGATATTTTAGCTGTGTTGCATTTTTTGAGTTTCTCTCTGTTGCCCCCTTGTGGCGGTCTCCGTTCCTCTAGCTCCCTTCTAGTTACTTCTATTCACACCTGCTCCATATCAGCTCATTAGCCCATGCTTTGTTCTGCTCCCCATATATACACCTCCTCTGCAGTTCCTCACTGCTGGTTTCTTGTTGTTCTCATGTGTGTTTTCCCCTGTTTTTTGGTTTCCTTTGTTTAGTTTTAGTTCCTAATTGATTTCATTTAACCTGCAAGACCTCATCTCAGCATTTAGGTCCTCAACCAACCTCC